ATTTTTTTTTTTTAAAAAAGGAAAAACTTTCCTAATTAACCGACAAGTACTATAACAAGAAACACTATCATTATGATGTCAATTTAATGTTGATTGAATTAAAATGCTATTCCTTGATGTCAATATTTAACTTTTACTTACTACGTATACTCTACGAATAAAGTAATGCTTATTTGGATTTTGTAGCATTTGCCACGAATCTCCAATTTGACATAATACAACTTCAAAGTGTAATATCGTTACACCTATTATTTCTTCTTTTTGGACCATATCGTTAAAGCAATTAAGGTCTATTATATCACATGAACAAATCAGCTATAGTTAACCTTTATGAAAAATGGTTTATTATAAGTGTTCATCATTCAATATGGGAAGTAGTAATACGTGTCCCAAACTTATCAACCTATAATGCATATTATGCAAGAAAATAATTTCATAACCCTTCTTTTGCTCAAACTTAACGATTCAAATTTAACATTCACTAAATTATTTTCTAAAAAAATACTCTCCAACAATAGTTGTCCACTATTGACTTGATAGTACTATATTATCCTTTGACTTTATTAATTTAATGTTTTGAAAAATATGTTTATTGATAAATAATATTTAATAGCAAGGGTAAAATAGACACAAAAGGTAAATTATCTCTTGATTTTTTAAATTGGACAAGTATTGTCGGATAACTATTTGTAGTATAGTGGACAATTATTGTTGAACGAAGGGAATAAATATAATCCTTTAAATTTATGAATAAAATAATAAAAACCTGGACCATAACAATTCAATTATCCCATTTATAATCACAGGTTGATATAGGATTAGTTTTCTTTTACCCTTAATTCGAGGTCATACGTTTAAGTTTTAAGGATGAAAAAATCACGATAAAAAGTGCTTTGTTCTTTAATGGATCTTACTAACACAAATTTAAATAATCGAGTCAGTAGATTGTAGATATTGAGAGAAGAATTGGACCAATATATTAGGACAACCCATATAAGATAAAAAGTTTCCATAGAAAAGAAAGGACAATAGCATGGTAAAGATGTTTAAATCTTGTTTGAGATGCTTAATTGGAGCTAAGAATAAAATGAACAAGGAAATAACAAGAAGAAATTAAGAGAACTTTTAATTTAAGAAGATCTCTTATATAATAATTAAATTCATATTATCATAGGAAACGAAGTAGAAACATGAACGCTTCGACTAAGAAAAACCTTAAGGCTAATTCGATTTAGGAAAAATTAAAATAAGTTTTAATTTTTGCCTACGAGACATAATTGTGATTAATTGAAGATATTTACTATCTTGAAATATCTTAAACGTGTGACCTGTAGACAAAAGTTAAAACTTATGCACAATGGACAACATATACATATCTAAGTTCTAACTTTTGTCTATAAGACATAACTTGTAATCAATTGAACAAGTTCACTCTCTTAAAATATCTTGAACTTCTACCTTACAGGCAATACTATTTTACGTTCACAACTTATTTTCAATGGAAAACACGTTACCTTATTAATTAGTTTGTCCTCCTTCTAAACCCTAGCTTATAATATAAATATATAAATATATCAATGTTGGTGTCGAAAATAGAAGTTTTTTTCTACCATATATATATATATATGATGGCTAGAGTTAGTTATTAATAAAAAGCGCTCTTCAAAGACATTTTAGGTTGTAAATTATTATTTTTTATGTTCGATAAAATAACTTGTGATTTTTGCAGATCCACTTATGCTAAGGAGAAACTCTCAAAGTCTTCTAAATTAATATTTTCGGTTAAAATACTACACAAGATGTATAACGTTTTTAAGAAATTTGAATGTTTTCATCACTTTAACTCTTATGATCATTAATTAATTTCAATCCAATAATTGACTAGCTTTTACTCGTGTTTTTTGCGTAGGAGACACAGTACGCCCTCCACTCCTAAAGAAAATTATCATATGCTTTTTAAACCCTAAAACAAACACAAAATAAATCCAACAATATGGTTTGACTTTGTCCACCGACGTGAATAATCTTGCTAGTAATACTAATATACTATTGTCATTTTGGCTAAAAGGTTTCATATTGTCTCCAACAAATTTTAAAATAATAGAAAATAAATTATAATTGCATCGAATTTTCTTTCATAATTTGAGGACTACTGATAATGTATATCTCAAACATAGGATATGCTTTGGATTTTCTTGAAATTTATTTGATCTTTATAAAATAATTTTGTGGATCTTCTTATAAATATTTCATGAATTTATGAAACTTTTAAAATGTCTTTTCAAAAGAATATACTACCTTTTATATATGTTTTAGGTAGGATTTAGGGTAGAATAACTTTCAAGAACTCTAAATTGAAATTAAATTCATTTTATAAAGTTCCATAAAATTCCGACGTGTATAATACTTTAAATTGATCAGGCTCAAAAGTCAAATCATGGAAACTATGTGGATTTGTTTCGTCAATAGGCACAAGTGCGGAGGAAAGAATGAAATGAATTCTACTTGGACTTAATTACTTCACTTGCAAGAATTTTTTTTCTCTTTTACTAAATATTTGATAATTACTTTATTTTAATTTCTTTTTATAATAACTGTGAAATAGTATCGTACCATCAAACAATTCAATAAACTTAAAGAGCACCAATTATGGATCCGACTCGTCTCCATTTCTCTTCTCTCCATTTTCCCCAAGTTCCTATTTGGATTAGTGACACATGGCATAGGTTAAAATAAATGGTTAAGATTTAATTTCCCAAAGTAAATCTCTAATCATGATTTAATTAATAAATACATTATATATTAAGTATTAAAAATTATTATAATCTCACAATCTTAGCAACATATTATCTTGTCCATAAATATAGGAAAAAAAAGTTCTCTTCCTAAATACTTTTTTTTGTACGTAAGATTATTATTTTTAATTTTATTTTAAATAATCTTTTTATCTAATTATAAGAATAATTAACTGAATAGAAGTATAGAAACTATAATTAACCTACCGTACATCCTGGTATCACCGTACCCTTAATCTTATTATGAAATTAAAATTAGTTTGTTAAAATGGTTTGATTATCTCTAGGTAATTAATTAATCACTGATCAAGATGCCTTTAATAAAAGATTACGATAAAAAGATTATCTAAAAGAAAATTAAAAAAATCCTACGTAAAAAAAAAATAGGAAGAGAACTTTTTTTTCCTATATTTATGGACAAGATAATATGTTGCTAAGATTGTAAGATTATAATAATTTTAATACTTAATATATAATGTATTTATTAATTAAATCATGGTTAGAGGTTTAGTTTGGAAAACTAAATCTTAACCATTTATTTTAACCTATGCCATGTGTCACTAATCCAAATAGGAACTTGGGGAAAATGGAGAGAAGAGAAATGGAGAGGAGCCGGATCCACCAATTATACTATTATCATTGATCAATGTAGTCTTCCCAGCTATTGAACCCTCTAATTTTATGTTGTTTCCTCCCGTCCATGTTTTCTCCGTATAATTTTGCACTGGCAATGAAGTTGGAATCGTAGATTTAGCCCTCCTACCAATGGTTGGCATATTGTAAGCTAACGTGCATCGAGAGAGCCTAGTAGATATATATGATTCGTTAAAATAGGATGTACTTCTTCACTCTTAAGGCTCGTTTGAGACTTATAATTAAAACTAAAAAGATCTCATTATCATTAGCACCTTACGATGGCGAAGGGTGAGAGTATCGGCAATGAGTTTGGTCAAACTCAGTACCAGTAATTTTGGTTCAAATTTATATTTATCCCAAGAATTTATGAATATGTACTTATTATTAATTTAAATAAATTAAAATCAGAAATTCATTAATTTCAAATATTGATTCCGCATCGGGCTCCTTGGTGGTGTTTCCAAGAAATTTCAAACAGCGTGGTCTGTGGTGTTTGGTGATACATAGACATGAAACACCTATGTTGACTATGAACAAGTCTGAATCATGCATGAAGGAATGATCTTTTTTTCTTATTTAATGTATTACTTTATTTAACTTAAAACCAAAAGTTGTTGAAGAGTTGTTTATCTGTATAAAACTATGTGGAAGAATCTTTATTTTTTTCTTCTTCTGGATATTTAGTAAGTATTTAATTTGGTAAAATAGTAGATATATAAATAAAAAGTGGCTTAATTTGGGAGTAAATGTCAACATTCACGCATCCTTATCAGTAATAGTGTAATACAAAAAAACATATGACTCATTTGGCTATTCTCATAAAGAACATCTCTCTCCACATTTGATTGATCGAAAAAAATAATAACATTGCCGGCAGAAAAGTACTCAATTTCTATTTCTTTTTTCTTCTTTGATATTCATTTTTACTTGTTCACCACTAAAAATGGATGTTTATTTTTATTTATCCAGTTTTAAATATTAAAAGATAATTTATTACTTATTATTAATTATAGTTATTACTAGAGCATTAATTTATTATATTAAAAAGGTGATATAATAACATTTTCATTTTAGTTATTTCTTTGAGTGTGTCATATCAATAACGAACGAGTTAAAAAAAAGAGAGAGTAATAAATTTGTGATAATAAGGATAAATTAAAAACTTAAGTAATAACTTATCTATTAACTTATAAATCGGACAAGTAACTATTTTTAGTATAATCAACCAACGAAAATGGACGGAGGGAATATAAATCAATTGAATGAAATAGTACACTTGAATATTTTTCATTCATTTGAAAATTATTCTTATTTTTTTTTAAGTGTATGGCATCAATTAACAGTTGTACAATTCAAGTGGTGCAAAAAAGAAGGCACTACCCCCCCACTCCACCTCCCCATGTCCCCCACCCCCAAACACCCCCACAGCACACACCCATGGACAACTTTTGAGCACTACAAATTCAAGACCAAACCCCTCATTTTCTTTCATTCTTTGTTTGTCCTTCACAAAAACAAAGAAGAAGAAAAAAATTCATACTTAAAAAAAATCTTTTAGAATTCCACAAAATGTCAACTATAGTTTATCAAGATTTCCAGTCATATTCTGACTCGAATATCATTGAAACAACTACACTGAAGCTCAAAGTACCAACCCCCCCAACTACTATAGTAGAAAATATCAATACTAGTAACGAAAAATGCTGGAGTTCTGTTCAAAATCTCTCATCCATCAATTATTCGAAGGAAATGGAAAACTCTTACATACACAGGCTTAATGAACATAGCCTTTCATTATGTACTGAAAATTTGGGAAGTGAAACAGGAACTGATCAAGCCATTGACAACAACATTTTCTCATTTTCATCGCGAGAGTTCAAAACAGAGCAATCAAATTACAATAAGGTGATGAGTTATAAAAATACTCAAACCTCTCGAAAACTTCCACCTCTTTTAACAACGTTAAGAGGATCGAACTCTCTTCAATGTCGACCATACAGAGAAGGGGGTAGATTAGTCATTAAAGCAGTTGAGACCCCGCAAATACGTACCTATTTTCATGCTGAAAGAAGTAATGGCAGACTTAGGCTCTGTTTTCTGAATGATGAAAAATCTGTTCCAACGACGATCGATGAAGAGGACGGAGAATTGGAAGCTGAAAATGACGTATTTGAACGTAAAATTAACGATGACGAAGAACGAGGAGAGGAAGAGGAAGAGGAAGAGGAAGAGGAAGAGGAGGAAGAAGAAAATGGCCAGTACATGAAAAGGGACATGGATGGAAATAATTATGATATTGAGGCTGAAATTGGAATAGTGAATTGTCAAAGGGTAAGTAGGTGCAAGGAAGGAAGGCAAGGGAAAAAGACATTTTGTGATTGGAGGAACCCTTTATGGGTGGCTACTTCCTAAAGTTTTTGTCTTTGGAACACATCATTTTCTATTTTTTTTTTTTTAATCCTTTATGTCTCTCTCTTTATATTAGTATTATGTTATATATCTTCTACTTGCATCATTATACTCACGTGGATCTAAGATGTCTATAACACAGATTTAACATTAAAAAAAAAAAAATAGATCAAAGAAAGTGCTAAGCTAGAATCGATCATATGTACTTAGCGGGCCCAATGGGTAGCAATATATAGTTTAGGGCAATCAGGCACTATTTGCTGAAAAATTATCCAAATTCATAATCTCTAAATTTTCTTACCATTTAAAAAATCCTCAAAACTCCCCTCTTGGATACATAACTTCCCTCTCGCTGATACCTTTCTATCCTTTCGAAAAAATTTCTCACCTCTAGGATACATTCCTTTCCTGATCATATCCCCTCTCTGATACATCTCTCATCTATGTATTCGGATGTCCTATCCCCTCTCGCCTATGAATCTAGAAGTCCGAGTGATGTGTTTGGTAGTCTAGTAATAATGTATTGGAAAGTCTAGTGATGTATCCAAAATTCATAAATTTTAAGGGACTTTTGTAATTTGAAAAAAAGTAGGATAATAATGTAATTAGCTCTCAACACTATGAAATTTATGTAAATTATACAAAAATTATATTATGCATATAAAAATAATACGAAATATATAGAATCAAAAATTATTTTTTCATACATATATAATAAATCTTAGACATCCTTAATGAAATCTCTGACTTCACCACCCTACATATTATTCTTACTTTGGCCCAAAGTAATTTTGAAATATTTAAACATGAATATCATCAAATAATATTAAATCAATTTTAGAAAATATATACGGGTTAGTTTTAGCCGAAAGACCTACGAGCTAGTGACTGTTATTACAGTTAGTTTATATAAAGGTATGAGTAACCCAAAGAGAGCAAATATGGGACCAGAATCACGTTAAGTGCAATAATTTAGCAGGGCCTAGCTTAAGGATTTTGAACAATAGGTGCACATGACATGAACATGCCCAGTTTTAACATTTACATATATATTCTCACTGATTTTGGAATTTTGGTATTACTAATAGTTACCTTGAAAGGTAAAAAGATGAGTATTCAGACTTCACAGTATATTTTAATTACAAGTGCTTTTTAAAAAGTATAGACTGGGAGTTTGAATTGAGTTATATGATTATTTAAGAAGGGTTCTTTCGTTAGTACTTTGTATTTGATCAATATTTTTTTAAAATACTACTTTTAAGTGTTAAATTATAAAAGCGAGCTTATTTTTTTTTAAAAAACAAGGTCGTGGGTGACTAATTATTATTGGAGACTTGAGATCTCAGCAGGAAATGCGAAGGTTGCAACAAGCCAATTGAGTCGGTGTGCGACAAGTTGTGTTAGTAATATACAGTGTTGAGTTGTGGCATAAAGTCTATGTTGCATAGTTGATCAATTTACGGTTATTTGTGCATATCATTCCATATGTTGCATCTATGCTTAATTGCTAAGTTGATGGATTGATTACTTGCACTGTTATTTCCTTTTTTATGATCTATTGATATCATATGAATTGTATAGGGTGAAACAAGTATTTTTAAGCTCCACTTTTGCCACTATCTTTTTGGGATTGAGTATACGTTGTTTTTTGTACTCATATTACACTTGTTGCACGTGTTTTAGAGAGCTTGGTATATACACAGATTCCGGGTCATAAGCTACTTGGTTGACCTGCTGCATTTGGACTTCACATTTCTATATGTATTTATTTGATATTTTCATATTTGGATTTCCTACTTTTTTAGAGCTCTGGAATCATTTTGTCAGATTTAGAAATTTTATGTGTTACTTTCGTGTTTACGATTTCTTAGAAATGTACACATTTTATGACTTGTAATTGCTTTTAAATGTTCACTTCATGTCTTTTAATAAGCTAAAACTTTAAATTGATACGCCTACAAGATTGAGGTGTAGGCAGGAGAGTAGCTATCCTTAGTTTAGGGTGTCCAATCGGACATCCTATCCTTTGTTGGAAAATTACATCGTATTTATAAGAAAATGATACTTTAAATGGTTAAATAACACATTCTGGACACTTTTGAAAAATAATAAAGTTTCTTAGCTCAGTGATTTCATGTGTGTTCGAATCTCCTAACTGAGCTTTTTTTACATTTTCAAAAGAGCTCCTAATTAATTTCTTAATCATAGTTAATAAATATGTTATTTTGACTTTTGATTTTTTTTTCTTTTCATTAAAAATTTAAATAAAATTTAAAAGTAATTATTTAATTAAAGTTAATATGCAAATCCTATTTATTTATTTATTTATTCCGTAAAGCTACTAAAAGTGAAAAGATTTCATATATAATTTCTTTTAATATCACATTTGATTCTAATCTTTATTTTTCATTTCTCGTTATTAGTCATTAGAGGTTCGTGAAATCTTGAAGCATAAAAGTTATTTCACTCTAAACTGAATTTTGTCTCTCTCTTTTTTCTTTGCATATTCACTTCCTATCAAATAAACATGAAACATTAAAGCTAAATATTATATAGTTTGATTTTAAAATTTTTGATATATTTTTAAATTAAAAAAATTAATCATTAATATTACGTAGTTTAATTTATAAAATTTAAATGCACTCATTCATTAAATTATTTATATTAGCTATGAAATTTATGGACACCCTTCGTACAATGTCAGGCAACGCCACTGGGTGTAGGTGTCAATTGTCATCACAACTTGAGTGATTTTGTATCGTGATAAGTTGAAATATAATCTCCACTACTATTAAAAGCACTTATTTCTTAACAAAAATTTAAACACCTTCATTCTATTAATTAATGTGTTTTTTTTAAAAAAAAAAATAATAATAAAAAGAATTAGCACTTAATTTTGGTCACTTTTAGTCTTTGCGACCTAGGCCAAAATAGATAGGAAGGAGTGGAGATCACGTTTTAGGGTAGAAGGTTAATAGAGATAGAGTGTCTTACCTGCGAAGGTTTAGGCTTGTTAGTACCTGTCATAGTACTAATCTTATATTTGTATAGTTCTTGCTTTGGTGTCTATTGTTTATGTTGTTTATTGAGTTTCGATTATCATAATATTTTGTTACAATTATTGCTTCTTTTGTCGACTGTATATCGCTTTTTTTATTTCACAGCTATGCATTCTTTCATCGTTTTCTTCTTCTATTACTTGAGTTTGACTCACTAGAACCGAGGGTCTTTCGGAAACAGACTCACCACCTCCACAAGATAATGGTAAGGTCTAGTAGCACTCTACCCTCCCAGATCCACTTAGTGAGATTTTATTGGATATGTTTTTTTTTGGCCAAATAGGCTAACTTATATGCAGTAGAGTAATTATTTTCAACTTTCGTCTAACCTCTCGCTCCGATGTAATACTCCCGCCCTGACAAATGTGAAATGTCCCATGCCACTTTTCGTGAACAGCTATGCCCGAAAATACATTGTGATATAGCATCGAATAAACCACAACTCTATTTCCGACTCGAAATCCGTAAAGGACTTTATCCATGGTTATTTTGGAGTGTGACACGATCCAAAACTAAGGAAATTATATATTATCCGTACTATTGTCTGTTAAACGTCATTGTTGCTGCATTATTCTTGGATGAATTTTCTACCTTCAATGTTGGACCAAAAGAACGTAAATGATGCTAAAATTGGGAGCATTATTAGGCGCCATCAAAGTTTGAAGTAGGACATTACCACCCTACATGGCAAAACATTAGATCTTAAAAAATCTAATATAAAGACTAAAGAATATTATAGCATGTATGTAGCATGAAAATATCAAAAAGAATATTATAGCATGTAGCATGAAAATATCAAGACAGAAAACTTACAAGTGTGAACATTTAATTTTGGCTTTAAGTCATCCACTTAAAGTTGTCCGCATATTTTATTTAGACACCTTAATTAGGACTATTACCTATTGAACACTTAAATTGTTCAAAAAATTACCTATTAAACACAAAATACTGATATAGCAAAAGAAGTGAAAATTTTTGGAATTTTGTTTTATTTTTATTTTTTCCAAAAAAACTTACACTTTTTCTTCTTTAATTGACACTTGGCATTAAAATAAATTAAGATAATTTTTTAATATTTTTAAAAATAATAATTCTTAATCCAAAAAAGAAAAAGCACCCCTACCCCCTTCAAGTCATCTTCTTCCCCAAATTCAAATTTTCAAGGACAACTAAAGAATCTCCATTTTTTTTTTCTTTTCTATTTCTTTTCAATATTCATAAAAAAAAAAAAAAACTGAATCGAGTAACTGAATTTGCAAGAAAAATAACGAAAGAAGATTTTTAAACATTGGGATGAAAAAAGTAAATCGAGGTTCCATCTCCATTTTCGGTCACCTTTGAATAAATATCACCATTCAAATTAAATTATAAACCCACTAAACTTAAAAACAATATCAAATAATTCGATAAAATTAATTTAGGTCCTCTTGATTTCTCCTTGCAATTGATTTCAAGATGATTAACCATTGACAAACTTCCTTTCTTCATCACTCTTGTACCGACTCTTCGAATATCTTTCTCTATCACGTATTAGGAATGAAAAATAATTTTCGATAAAATTAATTTGGATCCTCTGGATTTTTCTTTGCAATCAATTTCCGGATGAGTAACCATTGACAAACTTCTTCATCACTATTGTATCAGTCTCTTTGAATATCTTTCTCTCTCACGTATTAGGAATAAAAAATATTTTTTAAAAAAAGGGGATCTGCAAGTAATCTGCAATCTTATACATATCAGTGAATTTAATTTGTCTGAAAAAAATAAGGCTTTATGCAAATCAAATCGGATTAGTTGGGTCAATAGGGGATATCAAACACTTAGTCATAAACCATAAAAATCATATAATGAATTAAGTGTGTGAACATTTGTTTTTTAGTTTCATATCAAACTATCATGTGTGTGAATTAATATCTGAACTATCATAAAATATTTTTAGAAACACACTATAACTATCCGTTGTTTACTTTTCCTATTTGAAATATCATCATTGTTCAACTAGGAAAAGTGAACAATTGATAGTTGAGTTGTGTCTTGATAAACATTTAATGATAATTCAAATAGAAAACTCACAAACCTAATAATTCAGATATTAAAAAATAATTGGAATAGTTTAAAGGAAAAATATGTTTATGACACTCACTCTTTAGAATACGATAGAAGTTGACAGAGACAAGTTATAGAATCCAACAAGACAGGATTCAAAAAGGGAATAAAAGTAGGATGTAAAACACAACTTTTGTTGTGAATTGTGACGTATTTATAGGTTCAAAATTTCAAACAAATAACAGGAAAATTTGGGGTGTAACTGGAATTTTTGGTTAAATGGACAATTAGTGATTGCCTCCCTTTATTATCACGAGTGATTTCTAAATTAAAGTAATAATATGACTAGAGATTCTTGTAACCTCATACTAAAATATCTCCTTTGACCTTGCCTCGTTTTTACTCTTTCGAAAGATCATCTCTTGGTAACCAAACCCACAATCTTAAAATTAAAGGTGGAGGATAATTATCATCTGAACAACCTCTTCTTGTAACAATGTGTTAATTTAAAATCGCTTTAAAATAAAGCTGAAATTTGGAATAGCAAATACTAGCATGTGAAATAAGTGCTCCACTGAAAAAACAAGTCTATTATGAAATCGTCACATCTCTATATTGTTGAATTACTTTAAAATAAATATAAAAAAGAGGATAATTAATAATCCTCTAATATTTCCTTCATTAAAAAAAGGGGAAGATCTTTGAACAACAACTTTTTCTACTTTTAAAAGTTAAACTTTATGAAATATTGCTTCGCTCCTTTTAGTTCTCTAGAAACTATTACATATATGATTCAAACTACTTTTTTTAATTTCATCTTCATCTTTTTAAACAAAGGTTGATTCAAAATTTATTGTTATTAATATCAAACTTGTCATATTTCTAAAATTATGAGTTTAGATCTACTATTCCCACTTATTTTGGACATCAAAAGTAGATTTAAATATATATATTTTCTTTTTCCTCTCTTTTTCTTGGTGGTGGTTTTTGACAAAGCTTATGTGTATAGCATACTTCCTAAGACTTTGTCAACAACCCTAAAAAGAGGTGGACAAATTTTATCATCTATTTTCTAATTGCATAAAGGAAGATATCTGAGAAAGCCAATCGTAATAAGATGTTATAGGGTACCCCTTTTCCCTTTTCTTAAAAGAAAAAGAAGCCAAAGACATAGAACATCATAAGAGAAAGTGAGCTACTTAAATTTGGCTCAGATAACATGTGAAAAAAATTTCATCTCAATCTAATACTTTTAGAAATTATGACTTAAAAAAAAAATCATCCCAGTGCACTAAAGCTCCCGCTATGCACAAGGTTCGGGACAGGAGGGCCTAGTTGTACATAGTGTTTACCCTCGCATTTCTGCTAGAGGCTGTTTCCAAAGCTTTTACCCTTGACCTCCTAATCACATAACAACAACTTTACCAGTTACTCCAACTTTAGATTATGATCTAAAAGACATTTAGTTAGATTTCGCTTTTATGAGTTCACTTTGGTTTCAAGTTTTTAAAAGCAATTCAAACCTATAATTATACTTTCTGGAAAACTCAAAAGTATATCATACCTTCTTTTTTTTTCTTGAACCTTAATTTACATACCCCTATTTCTATATGAACAAAATACTTTTTCTCAAAAAGGCCTAATGCGTGCTCTGTCTTATTCATACTTGTCTATTGTGCAACTTTATATGGATATTTTACTCCACCCCCCCCCCCCCCCGGACGGATGGCTGCTCAAAAATGGAAGACTAACACATTTTTAAGTTGATGCATTTTTTGAATAAGGAGTGTGAAAGATGCTTTAAACAAATTCAACAGAGAAAAGTAAATACATTATATAAAACACAAAGTGCATAGACAAATAGGGGCCAAAGCAAATAATATGTACTGTCTTCTTGGGATGTGACAATATGTTATCAAAAACGGACTCCAACAGTGTAATAGTGAGGCAAACCTCAATGAAGAGGTTGAGTCCCTAAACGGGATTTATGTAATGTAACACTTGGGGAAATATAAGAGGGTGACAAGAGTTGGTTACGGATAAGAACTTGCAGGCTTCTAGGGTGGTAAACTTTCAAATATGCATGACATTTTAGGCTAATCTCATATCGAAAAATGAGAGAAACATCAGAACATTATACTCATGCTACAAGACTAAAATAATACACAAGTGCGTACATACATTTATCTCCCGGAGATGCAAACCTTGATCTATTTCTGCATCAATTTAAAACTGGATCCTCTGGAGGTTCACTGCCTGACGCATGATCTCTGTAATATGAAATCTTGAACCTTAGAAACGTCATACGTCAAAAGTGAATGTCGTCACAATGTGAGTGCGGGAGCATATGGTTGGAGAAGTTTTCAGGGAAAATGAGAACAATAGAGTGACATCCAAGAAAGCAAAATGCAAGAATGGCATCTGCCAAAATTGTTAGGTTGATGGAATATCTCGATTAAAAAAGAGTCATCATCAGTAATAACTTGCTAAGACGAGGATAATGTTTGTCAATCCTGTTCAGTTGATGAAAGAAGGGAGTTTCTTTCTCCATCAAACAGTTCTCATCAAGGAAGTTGCTTCTGCAAAATGCAAATGAAATCTCAGGGAAGGAGCTAACAGGATGGATAAGAATTTAAATTCAATCAGTCACTTTATGATAGCACATGAATAAAAGGTCAAAGAAATGAGTGCAATCAGCAAATATCACACTTTTATACCAAACACAGAAAATCACTGATCACAAGATACAACCGATTATACATGACAGTTGTAAGTACAATTCTAATCACTCCTTGCAATCATTATCAACCATATTACAGGATAAGATAAGATTATGAGAACTAATTAAAATTAATAAGAACTCTGATGAACACTAGCACCCTTCATGAAATCATTATGCAAGAATAGAAGAAAGTAAAGACTGAGATTAGATGGTAAGAAACAGATTAAAGTTCAGTCGGTGGCTCTGAGCTATCTACGTCATTGCACATAATGTTGAGTCTTGGGATCTTTCAAGTTGATGTTAGATGCTAATGGAGTTGTATTCTGGGTAAATAACTTGCATTACGCACAACCTAAGATACATGTTGGAATGTTATCTAAATAGACCTATAATCTCTTGAATTCATGTGATTTAGCAAAAGAATAGAACACAATGTAAGTAGAGGATTCACATAAGCAATACCAAAGTAATTAGGATGAAGGTTTAGCTATTGTTGGTAGACTTACTGGTTGAGGCATTCAATTAATGTAGAATTCTCCACATAATGGTGCTTTTAACTTCTTCAGGTCCACCGCCAAGAGAAGTTCAGCAATGTGAAACACTAGATAAGCAACAGCATTTCCCTTATAGAAGAACCATAGGTCTGAAAGTCCAAGTCATTTGAGTTTCGTTGCTGGTGAAATTATTAATAGATAATATACATTGACGGAAACAACTACCTTTTCACACCCAGGAATGCTCTAACTACTGATTCTTGAACCCCTTTCACGCTCATGTCACGTCGAGGTACTGCAGAAAAAAAAACAGCAAAATCCAATCCAATTTATCGTAATCAATTAGTTAACATGTTGGTTAACCGTATTCTGAAACACAGAAAAAAATCATTGGCTTATCAAATTATCTATCGAGCCGTGAAAAAGATTCAACAAAAGACAGAAACAAATCCACTATCCATTTTACATCAAGCAATACGTGGAGTAACTCCCGATATAACAGTAAAAGCAAGACGTGTAGGTGGATCGACTTATCAAGTTCCCATTGAAATAGGATCCACACAAGGAAAAGCACTTACCATTCGTTGGTTATTAGCGGCATCCCGAAAACGTCCGGGTCGAAATATGGCTTTCAAATTAAGTTCCGAATTAGTGGATGCTGCCAAAGGGAGTGGCGATGCCATACGCAAAAAGGAAGAGACTCATAGAATGGCATAGGAAAATAGAGCTTTTTCACATTTTTGTTAATCCATGAACAGGATCTATACATCTCAATCGGAAAAGAATCAAGAGAAAAAGAAAGAATCGGAATTGATCGATAGATTTCTCGAAACAAACGAAAAGGAAACGAAAGATGAAACATAAATCATGGATCAACTAAGCCCTCTCGGGGACTTTCTTAAAGAGGAACCTCATGTAAATACCATGGAATAAGGTTTGATCCTATTCATGGAGATTCCGTAACTATTCCAAAAACGGAAAGTTCGACACAATTGGTATTTTTTTTTGGAAATTGGAAGCAGTTACTAATTCATGATCTGGCATGTACAGAATGAAAACTTCATTCTCGATTCTATGAGAATTTTTATGAAAGCCTTTCATTTGCTTCTCTTCGATGGAAGTTTGATTTTCCCAGAATGTATCCTAATTTTTGGCCTAATTCTTCTTCTGATGATCGATTCAACCTCTGATAAAAAAGATATACCTTGGACTCTGTTAAATCATCATCCTCAGCTGCTGATAAGTCGCATGAAACAGTGAGTGCATCTATCCTTTTTGTCTGACATGTGGAACTATAAAAGAATGTTTGCTCAACTTCTTGTCAACTCAAACATTCATCACATCTGCAGGACCAATCATCACCAGGTTTACAGATAGGGTTAAAACTCTACGTTCAAGAAAATATGCAGATACAACTTTAGTTTACTTAGTCATTCACACAAACATATACTTTACAGAGAAAAAGGGAAACTATATATATAGTAATACCATCACAGGAAAGAAAATATGAACCAAAATTTACAGGTGCATCAAAACATAATATCATCATCTACTGACACTTTTCATTATCAAAATTGCCATGATTTCCTCTTTTTTTTTTGAGATTGGTTGATTCCAAAGTTACTCTTACCTCAAAAAGTTCTCCGATTACGCACTAGAGCACCTCTCACTACTAAACTTGCAAACATCTTTCAAACCAGCTTTGGCAGCTCTCGCGTCAGGATTGATTCTACAGCATAAGCACATCTTTAGATTTTCTATTAAGTAAAATAGGAGATGACTAAAGAAAAAGACCTCGAAATATCCATACAAAGGAAAAGTAAATGCTTGCGAGGTCCTGAAAACTGTCCTTTGTGCTCCATGTTTTCATACTTTTGTTGGTCACATTATTTGATTTTTGTTATAATTGAGTTTTGGCCTGTACTTAACTGCTATATCTTAGTTTGTGCATTATATGATTTTTATTATATTCTATTGAATGATCAGAACTTGGACCTGTGTGTATAATTGTAGTTTAAAAAAATATTTTGGCTCAATCCCGGGCTTTCTTTAAAACAAGGTTCTTTGCAAGAAAATATCACATCATTATAATGTAAAACAGGACTTGAGCAAATGTAAATAATAGTGATCCCTAGGTCTTTTGCATTGAAAAGCTAGCTAAGAAAGCAAACAGAGATGAACAAGGAACTAAGGCTCTTGGTCATGTACCTTGGGAAATTGTGATGCCTTTAAGAAATGAACAGTTGATTGGTGAAAAAGAAACACATGAGAGTAGTAATGAGCAATCAGGTGAAGAAAAAAAAGTGGTGGATTTGCAACTGAGTGGTCAGGTGAAGAAGAAGATGAAAACAGATGACATAGGTGGTAATCAAAGTTAGAGAGGAAAGCATTGAGCATAGAACAAGTGAGGAGTCAGCTGAAGAACAAAAAGAATTCTAAGGGTAATCATCAAAGAAAATTTGCAAAAATCTTATGGAGAAAATCCATTAGAAAAATGGGAACAAAATCATGAAAGGGCAACTTTAACTCTAAAAGACCCCAGTATAATCATCAGAGTTAGACCCATGCTCTACAATGAAGATGATAAGATTGAATTTAAAATTCAAATTAAAGAATTACTCAACTTAAAATTAATAAGAATGAGTAAAGTCCTCATAGTAGCCCAGCATTTATGGTAAGAAACCATGCTGAAATAAAAAGAGGAAAAGCCCGTATGGTAATAAACTATAAAGAGCTAAATAAAAACTGTTTATTTGATGGATATTTTATCCCAAATAAAAATAATTTGATTAACCTTGCAAAAGGAAAAACGTATTTCTCAAAATTTGACTGTAAGAGCGGATTTTGGCAAATAAAATTAGCAGAAAACTCTATTCAGTTAACTGCTTTCAGCACTCCAAATGGACATTATGAGTGGTTAGTCATGCCTTTTGGGTTAAAAAATCCACCACAAATATTCCAAAGAAAAATGGATAAAATATTCTCAGAAAAGGAATTTTTAATTGTTTATATAGATGACATTTTAATATGTTCTAAAACATATGAAGGACATTTAAGACATCTGAAAGAATTTTCAGAAATTTGTTTAAAAAATGGAATTATGTTAAGTCAGAAAAAGGCTGACATCAACAAAAATGAAATAGAATTCTTAGGAATGATTATTTCAAAAAATGGAATTGAACTCCAATCACACATTTCAAGGAAAATTATAGAATTTCCTGATAAATTAACAACAAAACAAGAAATTCAAAGATTTCTCGGTTGTTTAAACTACACAGGAGAATTTATTCCGAATTTAGCTAAAAAATGGAATATACTGCAAAAACTGATAAGAAAATCCAATAGACTCGGTTGGACAGAAGAACACACACAGTGTGTAAAAAGTTTAAAAGAAGAATGTGTCAAGTTACCAAAACTAAGATTACTAGAAGAAAATGATAATCTAGTTTTACAAACAGACGCATCTGACTATCATTGGGGAGCATTATTGCAAACCGATTTAAATGAAATTTGCAAGTACACAAGTGGTACTTTTAATGATGCAGAAACAAGATATTCCACAAATGAGAAGGAATTACTAGCCATTGTTAGAGGAATTAGAAAATTTTCAACCTTCGTTTTACCAAAACAATTTGTTATTAGAACTGATAATACGCAGGTGTCAGGACTAATATTTAACAAGCTTCCTTCTGAACCACAGTACAGAAGATTACATCGATGGCAGGTGTTATTATCCTTCTATTCATTTACAATAGAATATATTAAAGGAAGTGACAATTTTCTTGCAGATTTCATTTCCAGAAACGTCCAATATGGACAATCAGACGAAAATCCTGGTAAACAGGATATATGAAAAAATGAAAACAGTGGATGAATCCATAGATGACAAAAGCCAAAAGCTTTTCAAAATCAAAGATGAATTATCAAAATTATCTGAACAATCTCGGATGTTACAATCTGAAATCAATCAACTCAGTACTTCACAGGCTGAAAACATGAGAGAATTTCTACTCTTATGCGAACATTTGGATACACATCCAATACAAAATTCAAATCTGAAAGGGAATATCAATCCCAACAAAGTGGCAGGAGATGTCCCACTAGCACCTAGTGCCAAAAACATCTCGATGGTAAGCACGGATATGCCAACTTCTACATCAAAAGATGGAGAAAAAAGCCGAGCAATAATTCAAGACGCTACTTCGAAAGAAGCAAGCTCATCCTCAGTAAAAGCTGAAAGAATTATATCTGGGAAACCAGAAAGCAAAACTAACCAAGTTCCATCTGGAACAAAAGTATTTTCTTCTTTTCAGGTAGGAAAACAGCATCCTAAAGAAGAAGAATATATTGCATTTACAAGATA